TTCGCCGTGTAAGGTAAATAAAATTAAAGTAAAAAAAAAAAAAAGATCAAACACAAAATTAAGTGAAAGAAATCAGAGGATTAAGCTTACTAGGGAATTTGAATTCATAATTTCTATCCAGCTATGCGTATTAGGGTTCATTAATCAATTTTAATTGTTTTCAGAGTAGTGAGAACAACCCTAAGTAACTAACAAGCTCTCCCGATTTATTGTTAGTGTATTCTAATTCGAGTTCAATTACCTATCTTTAATTTAGTGAAATTAAACAGTAAATTCAGATTGATTAGGTGTATGGTTGTTTGTAGTTCCAAAGCTTAATAATTGATTAACTTTGATGAAAACCCTCCCTTTGAGGTCAAAAACCAGTCATAGCGTTCCGCATCGAAGTTGTTATTCTCAAGTAAATTATTTAAGTCTTTTGCATATCAATAAACGCCTTCTCCCGAAGGTAGTTATGGAAATACCTCGAATCCAGGGCGAACTTTTTCTGCCTGGAAGCATTAAGCACCATAATTAATTTATAACTGAGACAAAGAAAAACAAAAGTCTTAAATTCTAAATTGGGAATCGGAATTAAGCTACATCAAGATCCCTAGTATAAGAGTTTAGTGGACATAGTAATTAAATAAACTCAATCATGGCTTGCACATTCATCATATTTAAAGGACAATAATAAAAGAAAGAAACAAGATGAAGAGATTTTAGATTTTTAAAAACGTGTTAAATCACAACATATGTTTGTTGGCTTCCTGAATCGTGGCACAATTGCTTTGATGCTTGAAATCCTTGAGAGAGAAACGAATTATGTTAAGAAATTGCCTAAAAAAAAACGAGAGATCCCTCTTTGTTAGGCAGAAGTTCCTCTGCTTACTATGAGTTCTTGAAGGGGGCAAGGTTTGACTCCTTTAGAATTAGGAATCCTTATTTAGTGCAAAAGTCCTTTATAGGGAGATTCATAACTGTTATAGGTTCTTGATTTCTTCTTATTGGTAGGACGTCCTTTTTCCCCAAGAATAGGTCCAGGTTCTTGCTTATAGTGGTTTAGGAAACTCCCCGGAGGTCGGCCCATGCTGAGAAAAAGCTAGATTTGCGCATTAAATTCTCGCTGGTTCGCGCCTGCGCAGCACGGGCGTGCTTCCTGCACGGGTTTGGGTTGTGCTTTGAGTCTGGAGTCTGGCAGTAAAGCGACGCGGGCGTGACTAGTGGTAGCACGGGCTGGTTAAGCATTGAGGGGCACGGGCAGCGTGCCAGGTAGCACGGCGGGGGCGTTGCTTTTCTGCTGGGAAGTCTGCCTAAAGTTGCCGGTTGGGCGTGCTATGCTTTACCACGCCCTTAGGGACCCTGTAGCACGCCGTGCTTTTAGCACGGGCCCAGGGCGTAGCTGACCAGTTAAGTGCCATTGTGTTATAAAGTTCTTTTGTGCCAATTCCGAAATTTTCTCTTAGATCAAAAGCGGATTTAAAGATCAAGAGAACTTGTTAACATACTTATACGTAAAAAGTGATTTAAGATAATTATACTAAAAGTGATTTAAAGTAATAAAAACTTACTCAAAATCTAATAAAGACTATATTAAAAACACTATAAAATTAACACTTATCAGAGTGGTTATTGTTGGGGGCGGCAACGGCGATGATGTGCTAATTATATTATATATTTACAAATAAATATAAAAATGAATTTTAATTACATTACATTTTTTTTTAATTATATGATCAAACATAATAATAAAATGTTTTTTACATTTCATTACAATATATTTTTATTACATTATATTTTTAATTATATTACATTACATTACATCCAATAAAATATAGTATAAAGAAGTATTTTACCTTTTGAACGTGGAACGATAGAAAAGCAAAAGCTTAGAGCATTTCGAACATTAATGTGGATTGTGACTAATGTGTTACATGGAATAGAATGTGTGAATAATGATATGGCTGAATGTCTATTTATACATTGAATTTTAAAAATCTATCTCCAATATACTAGTTTTAAATCCTCTTCTGTTCTCTTTTTTCTTTCCTTCTTCGGATCCACAATTCAATACACAACCAATTGCTATAGAGCAATAAATATCCATATTGTTTCAAAGACTCTGTCGAATAGAAGTTGTGCTACACAATGTCTATTAATTTTTTTTGACACATCAGTTTAATATATCAAATAGATATTAGCATTGAGGAGCATTTTTAAAGTTTTTCCATTTTTATGATGTGACAATTAAATAAGAGAAATTCATGTTAGCATTTCAAATGGTCTTAAAGCATCTCCAATGCAACCAATGGATTATGGCTGATGTGTCTTAATAAATAGAAATGTGAATGATGATGTAACTGAATGTTATTTATAGATGTTAGATTTAAAAAATAGCTTTCCAATGCACGAAGAATAAATCAATTTTAGTGCAAGAAGAAGTTTGATCGCAAATAAAAAAATGCATAAACAATAAAAAAAACTAATTGTTAACCGCGCTTCGCGGATATTTTAAATATTATTTTAATAATTATTATAAATAAAAACTCTACTAGAAGTAAATCAGTAACAGTAAATATCAAAATTATTCGTAATAAAAAGAACTATAACATTATTTGCAAATAGCATAAATATTTTTAAGATAAGGCATATTGCTAGAGAAAACATTCAAATGCCAAATTTGAAGGGATTGACTTTGCAAACTAATATATGACATTCCAAACTTAAGCAGGCGGTATTGAAATATGGGCACATATACCTTTTTTGCAATACACATCCATACTGTATACTTCTCTTTTCCAATCGAGAAACCTAATAAAGTACTTTCTATTCTTCTCCATAAAGTCCTTCTACCCACAAAATAATAAAGGATAATTGCTAAATGTAATATTTAAATTTTTAAAGAGATTAATTTTATCTAAATTTCAATTTTGAATTGATTGAAAACACAAACTTTTAAATGTGTGTTTATCCTATCCTTTTTTTAGTCAAAAATAATAAAAATTTATTTTAAAAAAAAAAGAAAAAATCCGAAAAATGGGGAAATAGAAAATGATTCATTTTTAATTCTATTTTTTTCTCCATCTTTAACAACCAGATTGATTTTTTTTTCTATTTAAATATTATAACATTTTTTTTTCAAAAATAGGGCATAATTTTTTCTCTTTCCTTAAGTTCACTGTTCTTTTTTGAGATATTCATTTATTAAATTAGCTTTTTTGTTAGCATATTTATTACATTGGGTAGAGTTACAATAAACATTTTATTTCCTACTCCCTCCTCCGTCCAAAAAGATAGTTAGAAGACAATTTTATTCATATAACTTTTCTATTATGTCTATCTTAAAAAACACATAAGCAATTATGATATAAGAATAATAAGTAAGAATTAATGAGAGCTATTGAAAATAAGATAAAATTTAATAAATGTATAATAGACAATTTAAATATTAACTATAATGCAAAAAGAAAATTAAACTATATTTTGAGATAAATCGAAAAGAAAAGATGGACTATCTTTTTAGAACAGATGGATGTAGTATTTCTATTTCCTATCTTTCCTACTCCAAAAGTAAGCCTACATTTTAAAATAGTGCCTTTTAGCGTTTTACATGGACACAAGACCAACAGCCCAAAATAGTTACAATTAATTAACAAGCCCACTAAGTAATAAGCCCATTAAATACGAAGCCGATGTAAGGCCCATAAACACAACAATTGACCATGGGAGAAGTGCCACTGTGCGCTAATTCTATGGCCTGTGGGTGCAATTTTGGGCGTTAGATTTTGTCTTGTAAAAGTTCAAATATAGAATTCAGCTCGTTTAAGTATAAAATTTCTGATACTATATTAAAGTTCATTAGCTTGTTTGTATATGATCCTATAAGCGGTGAAATTATGGAACAAACCATGCACAAAACCAAATTGATTTATGAAGTTCAATAGCAATTCACTTATAAAATTTTACCTCTCGTTTTACAAAGATATATTTACTAGCCTGGTGGTAAAATTCTCATGCAATTGCATGAGTTGGGCTGGTTTCCATATCACTCCCTGTCTCTCTCTTCTCTTCCCTGTATCTAAGAGAAAAACAAATAAAAAAAGAAAAAGTTAGTGTTTTTTTTAGTGTTAGAAGAGGTAAGATTCGAACTTAATCTATTGTCAGATTGTATATCTTGGTATGTAGAAAAATTAGTTATTATAGTTTTAACATACATTATATATATTGATAGATTAATATCATTGTCACACTGTTTAATCTCTTAATAAAGAATTTGATGGAAAACTATTGATAATAAGACAATTCAAATAAGGTTATATTACAAAATTACTAAATTAATTATTTTTTTTCTTTAAAAAAAGGTGGCCTATAATTTAGAATATATGAAAAAATAAAAATTCGTGAACTTAAATTTCAGTGTGCCAAATCTAACCCTATTGATAAGCTGAGAAATTAACATAAGGCGATTGGTGGATCAACCTTCTCATCAGAATGACAAAGTCTAACCGTTAGCCAAATTACTTTATTAACCTTATCAACCTTATCAACATCTAAGTGGAAAGCACTTAAGTGGGTACATGGGACATAAATGCAAGTAAAAAAACGTACGAAACTTGTACATCTCTCGGTTTAATCATTAACCATAATCTAACTAACACTTTTAACTTCAAAATTGGAAAGTTAATTTATTTATTTGTTTCCCTAATCGAAGACCTTAGTGCAGACATAAAGAATGGAATCAAATCAAGACTTGGATTTATAAAAGCATAAAGAAATCCCAAAAAAGAGAGCATGTCACGGTAACCAATAGAAGGGTCATCTGGGGTCTCATGTAAACACATGAATCAAGAATTCCTAATTTGAAATTTAGGGCTTAGATTTTGAAAATTAGGGACAAACGGGCACATTTCACGGCTAATTTGGTGCTACTTTAACATGCTTTCTTGCACTTTTTCAATGTTACGTGTGTTGTTTAAATTGTGTCCCTTGGACTGGGATTCTTTATTTTTAGACCCACTTGGGAACTTTTCTTGCTCTATATTTAGAGCTCTTCTTGTAGTTGTTTCTTTGCAAGAAATACAAGAATGGCTTTGATTTTCTCTCTTCTCTTTGCACTCTTTCTTTCTTTCTTCCATTGCTCAATTTTTGCTGCTATTCCCCCTCAGCCCCTTGATGGTAAGTAATTTTCTATTTTGCAATTTTTTTTGGGTACATTTTGTATTATTGTTCTCGTGCACACGATATAAACATAGGATGCACCTTTGTTAAAATCAAAATAATTTTGACAAGATACATTTAATAATGTATTTCACGTACATGCATACTCTATTAGTAATGTGAAATTGTGAAGAACCAGCATTTAGGGGTGCAAAATCATCGATGGAACTGACAATTCATTTCGGCTCAATTTGATCAACTATTTAAGGAAGGTTTAGTTTGTCGGTTTGTTCGGTTTCAATTGAATTTATTGTTCAGTTTGGATCAGTTTTATGAAAATTCATCAGTGCGCTTAAAATCAAACCAATGTGGCAAAAATCAACTAAAACAGGTGGAACTGACAGATTCGGTTCAAGTCGGTTTGGATGTCAATTTTGGTTCAATTTGTTGTCTAAAAATTTTGATTTGTATTTTTTGGCCTTGGTTCAGTTTGGTTCAACGCATCCACACACATTTTGTATTGTTTTTATTAATATGAATAAGCTAATTAAATGCAATTTTGTTATTTATTTATTTATTTATTTTTTTTGGTTCAGGACTTTTGGAGAATGGACACTTTGAAGATGCACCAGCGAAACAAAACCTGAAGAACAAAGTCATAATAGGAAAATACTCACTCCCAAAGTGGGAAATCAATGGTAGAGTAGAGTATTTGTCAGGTGGGCCACAGCCAGGTGGCTTTTATCTAGCCATTCCACGTGGGGTCCACGCAGTGAGATTAGGCAATGAAGCTAATATCTCTCAAACTTTGAGTTTAAAGGCAGGTTCAATTTATGCCCTAACATTTGGGGCCACTAGAACATGTGCCCAAGATGAAGTGTTAAGGGTAATTGTCCCTGGCCAATCAAGTGACCTTCCTCTTCAAACCTTGTATAGTAGCGATGGAGGTGACACTTATGCCTTAGCATTCAAAGCAGTCTCTGCCCTTATTAAGGTCACATTTCATAACCCTGGGATTCAAGAGGACCCTTCCTGTGGTCCTTTATTGGATGCTATTGCAATTAAGGAGATGGTGCCTCTTAAGTATACCAAAGGTAATTAAACATTCATTTTCGTTTAAACTACAGCAATCATTTTCTTTTATACCATATCCTTTATATAATTATCTTTTTTTTTTCAAATTTTTTTTAGGCAATTTAGTGAAGAACGGTGGATTTGAAAATGGTCCTCATGTGTTCAAGAACTTCTCAACTGGAGTCCTCCTTCCTGCAAAGCAACAAGACCTAATTTCAGCGCTCCCTGGCTGGATAATTGAATCCTTAAAACCAGTAAAATACATAGACAACAAACACTTCTCTGTCCCTTCAGGATTCGCCGCGATCGAATTGGTTGCAGGGAGAGAGAGTGCCCTTGCACAAGTCATTAGAACAGTGGCTAACAAATTCTACAATCTCACATTTACAATTGGAGACGCCAAAAATGGCTGCCATGGATCAATGGTGGTTGAAGCTTTTGCTGCTAAAGAAACCCTAAAAGTTCCCTTCGAATCACAGAGCAAAGGCGAATTCAAGACGGCAAGTTTCAAATTCCAAGCAATTTCTAATAGGACTAGAATTACATTTTATAGTGCAAATTATCATACTAAGTTACATGATTTTGGTCACATGTGTGGTCCTATTTTGGATAATGTTAGTGTATTTCCAATCCGTTATTAGTCACTACTAGATTAATAGTTTTACAGTTAGTGTTGTTTTTTATCCCCTTTGACAAAAACGATATCATGAGCCGGTTTTTATATATCGGATTTAAATTTGTATTTTCGGTTTAATGAATTGTATCTTGAGAATAGTTATGAAGAACTAAAGGGTTCTGTAATAGTAAAAAGAATAACTTGAAGTTACATTTCCAAATGATATTATATTATGGTTGAATTTTACATTTCATATTTGTTTCTGCAGCAAGGGAATTTGTACACCGATGTACTTCTTCTTGGTCCGGAAGCCTCTTTTGTAAACTACTGTATTGCTTAATTTCCTCATTTCTAAGAACTGGAAGCTAATTATGGCAGCTGATCAATTTAATTTTGTACTTCCTTCGTTGGAATTGTAAATAAAACCAATTAATGGAGAACCCAAGACAGAATTCCACCTGGAGGTTGATCCATGAAATGAGTAACCGATTTCACAAGCCTTGCTAAAAAATCAGCACAGTAATGAGCTTCATGCTAGATATATTTAACTAGAATATTCCAATCCAAAGTCAACAACTATTTGATCGCTTGAATCAGCTCCCTCATACTTCCAACCGCTGCAGAAGATGGGTTAACCATATCAACCACACTCCTGTTTCCGCATTCAACCCGCACCTGAGCCAACGTGAAAAAATGAAGCCTTTAATCCAAACCCCTTTCCCATCTCTAATCAACCCACTCCCATATGCAGAATTATCAAGCACGGGACCATCTGTGTGTAGCTTGGAGGTGCTCAGGGGAGGAGAGGACCAAGCTATCCATCTCATCTATTTGTTTATTCTCCTGCTCTGCAGATCCATAACATCTTCAGCATTAGCAATTTCTTTTGATTGGAATAAGATGCGATCAACTAAACCCTCCATTGATCTATGAGTTTCGCAGAAAATGGTTTCATTGCGAGATTTCCAAATCTGCCAGCAAACCAACAACACCAAATTATTTAGTTCAGCGCTGTTCTTCAATGGATGAAGGCAAGTGTTTTTCTTCTTAAATAGGTATACGTCATTTCCTGTTAAATATATTATTTTTCAAAGAAATTTTGTACCTTTGTCTATTTTATTTTATTTTAAATATAAATTTTTTAAAAGTTTCAATATAAAAAAATTATATTACTTAAAATTTATAAAATTATTAGTATAATAATGGTGGCGTTTGTCCTCATCCACCCACTTCCACCATGTTGCTTGATGGCTTTGTGAGTTAAAGACCAGAGAGCAAAGACTCGCGTTTACTTACTCTTATTAGTTTCTCTTCCCAAATTTCCCTCTCTGCAAAGAAAGAAACAGCTGAAATGGCGACGGAGGAGGTGGAGATAGTGAAGCCGCGTAATGACAAGAGAGAGTATCGGCGGATCGTCCTTAAAAACTCGCTTGAGGTTCTCCTCGTTAGCGATCCCGATACCGATAAGGTACTGTTGAATTTTTTTTTTTTTTTTGAGTTTCTAAATTCAATTTAATCATTGATTCCGTTTTGCATTTTCAACACAAATTGTTTTCTTATTTTACTGGTTAAAACTTAAAATTAGTTCAGTGCTGTGCTTCAATGGATGTCGGCGTTGGTTACTTCAGCGATCCCGTTGGAATTGAAGGACTCGCCCATTTTCTCGGTACTTAAAATTTCATTTTCTTGTTCCCTTCTGTTAACCGTAATTTTTTTGTTAAAATACTGTCTAATTCATGTAGTTTGATGAAATTAATTACTCACCCCTCTAAATACATAACTGCATCTTTATGATTTTGATTTTGATTTTGGTTTTGAACTGTTTAACAATACTCGCGGAATCTAGCTAACTAAAAGATTAAGTAACCGCTTTTTTTTTTCTTTTTTTTTTAATTCTTTATATATAATAATTGATCCTTTTGTTTAAATTATATATATACTATACCTTCAAACAAAAAAAATATATGCATACTATATTGGACCACAAATTATATATATACTATATATTGTAATATTTATTTAAATTAATCCCACTTAACCTTTCTTTTCTTTAGAATTATACCATGGTGTTGCCCCGTGCAATGCGCCGCTGAATGTTTTTGTTTTTGTTTTTGTTTTTTTTTTTAAATATGTAAGAGTAAAAAATTTAAAAAATATATTTATATTTTTTAAATAAAAAAGTGATAGATGGATAGTAAAATATGCAAAAGCTATATTGAATAGATATATTTTTTTTCAACAATTATAAAAGTTGGATATATAATTATTTTAGAGGCTATTTGAGTTGGAGGATTTAAGGTAAAATTATTATAATTTTACTGTTAAAATTGCTTTAGAATTCTAAGATTCACACTTCAAGTCTATATTGGTTGGCCACATGTTTTTCATGGTTTATATTAGTCTTTGGGTGGCTAAGGAAATTCAATGTTGGTTGGCTATATTGATGAGCTAACTTGAACTAGGATGACACATTTTCAACAATGGAAGTTGGGTGGCTAAGGGGCTAAGGAAATTCAATGTTGGTTGGCTATATTGATGAGCTAACTTGAACTAGGATGACACATTTTCAACAATGGAAGGAAGACTTGAAGTTTGTTCACATGGTGGCAATCTTGCTTGGAGCAAATTGATTACATCCAACTGAGTGAAATTCATCCAAGAGAACAATCCTCCAAGAGCATTTCCCTAAAGTATCCACTCTCTTCATATACCACTTCTTCATATATATACACACTCCTGCCATATTCATTGAGTGTAGTGAGGTGTTATCTTGAGTGTATTTGTGTGGGTGTAAAATCATTGTGTGGGTGTAAAATCATTTGTATCTCCTCCATATTTTTCATAGTGCATTTACTCCTCTCTCGCCCCGTGGTTTTTTCCCTCTACATTGGATGGTTTCCACGTAAATTTTGTGTCTCTTTCATTTATTATTTTACTTCTCATTTTATCATCAACTACCGAAACTAAATATTTATCTATTACCACGCTAAATTCTGCAACAAACTGGTATCAGAGCGTTGTAATATTTATTTGGGTTTCATAACATGGCTTTTGTCATGAAATTTGATGTTGAGAAGTTTGATGGAAAAATTAGTTTTGGCATTTGGCGAGTTCAGATGATGGCCGTTCTCACCCAGTATTGGTTGAAAAAGGCCCTTGCAGGAAAGGCGAAAAAGCCGAACACCATGTCGGATGAAGATTGGGAAGAGTTGGATGAAAAAGCCTTGTCAGCAATCCAACTTTGTTTATCCAAAGAAGTTTTGTGAGAGCTTATCAAGGAGGATACAGCTGCAGGTATGTGGTTTAAGTTGGAGTCATTGTATATGACGAAGAGTCTTGCCAACAAGATTAGTCTCAAGGAGCGCCTCTCTACCATTAAGATGGTCGAAGGTACACCCATTCAAACTCACCTTGATGAGTTTAATTCCATCATAGTTGATTTGGAAAATTTGGATGTTGCAATCAGTGATGAAGATAAAGTTGTTTTGTTAGTTTGCTCACTCCCCCGGTCATACCGTAACTTTAAAGTATTATATTATACGGTAGTAATGAGATCCTAACATTTGATGATTTCAAACAAAATCTCTTGGTAGTAATGAGACCCTAACATTTGATGATGTCAAACAAAATCTCTTGTCTAAAGAAAAATATGACTATGAGAATAATTCAAAGGATGAAGCCGAAGGGTTAATTGTTAGGGGGAGAACTATGGATCACGGTAGTAGCAGTAAAAGTAAATCCAAATCAAAGATCAAAGTCTAGAGGTCGAGATAATAAGAAATTTTGTCGCTATTGCAAGAAAAAGGGACATGTAATTTCAGAATGCTTTAAGTTGAAAAATAAGCAGTAAAAGGGCGAAAACAATAATCAGAAGAATTCAGAAAATTCAGCTGAAGCAAGTATTGCTCAAAAAGAGTACGAAGGTGAAGTTTTGTCTGTTACTGATTTTAGAACTAAATCTAAAATGAAGTGGATTCTAGATTCTGGTTGTTCCTATCACATGTGTCCTCATAAAGATTGGTTTACCACTTATGAATCAGTTGATTGTGGTGTTGTCTTAATGGGGAATAATGCTCAGTGTAAAGCTGTTGGAAAAGGAACAATTAGAATTAAAATGCATGATGGCATGATTAGAACTCTAACTGGTGTTAGACATGTTCCTGATTTGAAACGCAACCTTATCTCTCTTGGCACCCTGGAGTCCTTTGGGTGTAAATATGCAGCAATATGCAGCTGAAGGTGGAGTTCTAAGGTCTCTAAAAGGTGCTCTGTATTTTATGAAGCTAACAGATCTGGGGAGTTGTATGTGCTTACAAAGGATCTACTGTTACAATAAGTTCCGGACTATTCATCATCTAGTGTCAGATTTCAGACGTCACAAAATTATGGCAATATGGTGCGCTCTTGGCCATATGAGTGAAAAAGGAATGATCAATCCTGAGCAAGAGAGGAAACTTTTGTGTGGTCAAAATAACTGGGTAGGTTGGAGTTCGTGAACATTACATTCTGGTAGCAGAAAAGATTAAGTTCTGTATCCGGAATTCATAAGACAAAGGTACTCTTGACTATAATTCATTCAAGATCTTTGGGGACCCTCAACGTGTTCCTTCAAAAAGGATTCCTTCAAAAGGAGGACATCGTTACATGCAGACCATTATTGATGATTTTTCTCCTAAAGTCTGGGCTTATTTTTTAAAGCACAAAGATGAAGTTTTTTCCACTTTTAAGAAGTTGAAGATTTTGATGGAAAACCAGACAGGGAAGAAGGTCAAGCGACTCAGGACTGATAATGGTCTAGAATTTTGTGGAGGTGATTTCAACGCGTTTTACGAAAATGAAGGAATTGTGAGACACCGCACGGTTGCCCGTACGCCTGAACAAAATGGAGTTGCAGAACGGATGAACAAGACATTGATGGAGAGAGTTCGTTGCATGCTCTCTAATGCTGCCTTGCCTAAAGAATTTTGGGCCGAAGCTGCATCTACCGCATGTTATTTGGTGAATCGTATTTGGTGAAATCGTTCCCCACACACATCACTCGACTTCAAGACTCTAGAGGGAAGTTTGGTCAGGTAAAGTTTGGTCAGGTAATCCTGTTGATTATTCGAATTTGAAAATTTTTGGATGTCCTGCATATGCACATGTAAATCAGGGAAAATTAGAGCCTAGAGCTAGAAAATGCATATTTATTGGTTATGCATCTGGTATGAAAGGGTATCGCTTGTGGTGTCCTGAACTTAAGAAAGTAGTTATCAGTAGGGATGTTACTTTCAATGAAGATGTGCTAATTCTCCCTGGAAAAGAAACTATCAGTTCTTCCTCTTCTGACATAGGTGATTCGAAGAACACCGATGAGAAGTTGGAGCTTGAGTTTGAAGTAACAACTTCTAGCGAGGAGAATATTTCCTCATCTCCGATCACATCGGAGGTTCATGATTCCACTGAACCAGATCGTTGTGAAGACTATTCTGTTGCCAGAGATAGACCTTGGAGAGAAATCAAACGGCCTGAAAGATATAATGAAGGGAATTTGGTTGCTTATGCTCTTGCAGTTGCAGAGGATACAGTTGAAAGTGGAGAACCTCACACATGCTCTGAAGCAATCTCATGTCCTAATTCTTTTGAGTGGCAGGTTGCGATGCAAGAAGAAATTGAATCTCTGCACAAGAATGATACTTGGCAGTTGGTGAAATTGCCAAAAGGCCAAAGAGTTGTAGGTTGTAAATAGGTCTATAAGAAAAAAGAAGGCAACCCCAGAATTGAATATGCAAGATATAAAGCACGTTTAGTTGCTAAAGGCTACACTCAAAAAAAAGCACGTTTAGTTGCTAAAGGCTACACTCAAAAACATGGTGTAGACTTTAATGAAGTGTTTTCTCCTGTTGTTCGTCACACTTCTATACGTGTACTTCTTGCCCTTGTTGCCTTGCAGGATCTTGAATTAGAACAACTTGATGTCAAGATTGCTTTCTTACATGGAGAGCTCGAGAAGCATATTTATATGCAACAACCAGAAGGATTTGTTGTTCTTGGAAAAAAAGACTACGTTTGTGACTTGAAGAAGTCTCTTTATGGACTAAAACAGTCCCCATCTTTATGGACTAAAACAGTCCCCAAGACAATGGTACAAAAGGTTTGATTCCTTTATGGTTGAGCATGGGTATTGTCGTAGTCAGTATGATAATTGTGTTTATCATAAAAAGTTCTGAGATGGATCTTTTGTCTACTTATTATTATATGTTGATGACATGCTAATTGCTGCTCGTGATAAGTCACTAATCAAAGAATTGAAAGATCGGTTGAGTAGTGAATTTAAGATGAAAGATCTTGGTGCTGCAAAGAAAATTCTTGGTATGGAGATTCATAGAGACCGATCAGCTGGAAAATTGTATTTATCAGCTGGAAAATTGTATTTATCTCAAAGAAATTACATTGAGAAGGTTCTTGAGAGATGCAACATGAATAACTCAAAACCTGTGAGTACTCCTCTTGCAGCTCATTTTAAATTATCATCTGATTTTTGCCTCAGTTTGATGAAGAGAAAGAGCAATTGTCACATTTGCCCTATTCTAGTGCAGGTGGTAGTCTTATGTATGCTATGGTATGCACTAGACCTGATCTTGCACAGACAGTTAGTGTTGTGAGCAGGTACATGATTAATCCAGG